CACAAAAGAAGCGTGTCTTACTAGTCAACAATTCAAGTCCATCCTCCGCTCAATCCAAAGTGCCTCTTTCTCAATTTACCTTGTGTTGTGGGATTGCCGCAGGTGTATACTGATCCAGTGAATAACGCATGGTGCAATATGACGGAAGAAGAGTGGACATCGAATTCGATGTGCTTCGTGAAGATGACCCTGTCGATCCGGTATCCCCATTAATTGTAGCCAATCTGAAAATCGTCCGTACATCCGTCGGGCTGGCTGGGCCAATGGAGGCGGGTGATGACGGACAAGATGGTGAGCCGGAAACCGGAATAGATCGATCGTTTCGAGAGGCCATTTGTGCCGCGGAGTGCAACATGCTGATAAGCACTGAAGTGCGCCGGGTAACGATTCCGTCAGCAAAAGTCGAAGACTTAGTTCTACAACTAGTGGGCGAGGTTGCCGAGTTAACCGGTAGAGTGTTGCTCATAGGTTGCGGAAATGTGTCTCGTTGACGAATCGGACGTATAGAAGAAAAGGGACGCTTGAATTCTGCATTAGGATCTGATTGGATTTGCTGTCTGGATAAATCTTTTGCGCAACACGAATCGTATCGGGAGTCATTTGTTTGCAATAAGCGGACTGGAAGGAGAGCATACAGAAATAAGAAAATACGATAATCTACCAATAAAAAAGAATCACAAGTTTTTCAGAAAATAAGCAAACGGGGAGAGGAACATAGAAAAACAATGACAAATAAATTCATTTCCTGGAACACTGTTTTGGAATAAACAGATTCCTTTCATAAAGGAATATATGTATATATTTACCACCGACTTCTAGACAAGCATGGTGCCAACGCAATAACAATAAATACAATGCCAATGAAAGGAGACAGGTAGACTGGAGTACAGAACAGGGTGAAACAGTTACACACGGGAAAAGGGAAGATATCTGGAATAACAACAAAAATTTTCTTTTACCGTACACCTTTTGAGATTTTTTTTGCGGATATGGGATGTCGCCAGGTAGACCATACAGCATTCGCGCCACTTCTGGGCCATATTTCTCAGCGTCTCTAACCAACGACAATCCTCATCCCTTGGGCCCCAACTTAGAAGGTGGGCTGCACCAACCGAAGCCAGGTTCTTCATACCTCTACGCCATGTCAAGGTCCGACCGCCGCGCTGCTTCCTCTAGCCTTGCCCAGCATACACGAATGGTCGGATGCAATAGTGGAAAAACTGCACAAGTGACCACAACGCTTATGTTACAGTGTCCAAATGGAAGGGGCAATCGTTGATGATACCGTTTGTGTGTGGTGAAACTATCCCCGTAAATGTTTGTCGGGTGAACATAGAGCCTTGTAAGCTAACCATGATAAACTGACGGCTAGGAAAGGAGCACTTGTGTATAGTGATTCCGTTGGGCTGGTCGCAACTCTCTTATGGAAAATTATTTCCAAAGGGAAATTTGCCGTGCGTATAGCAAATGAAGCGTGAATTGAAAAGCTAGGAAGCACTGGGCACCTGATTCGACCTGGTTGGGTCTCATCAGCAGTGAGAATCCATCGAAACCAGTTACACGACGAATTTCACCTTTCAAATTGAATCAAATCCTCCATTACTCAAATGAAATAAGAAGTAATCTGTTTTTATTTTCCCATGACAATTTTATTCCCACGCAATGATTGATATATATTGAGATGTATTGGCATGAATACGAATCTCTGAAAACGAGCTTGTTCGCCACTCTGTTGTTTTGCTTGAAATAAGAAGTCAGGTTGTGATTGTTTCCAACCGAGTTATAACACCGGAGGCTAGTGCCGAGATGAGCGAGGTCTGTGGCCTGCCACAAGCCCGCAAAGATGGGTTGTGGTATATCGTGCAGATGGAAAATGAAAAACGGTCTGATCAGCTGCCCGGTGGCCGAGTGAGTAGCAGGCCTATATTCTGACCATGAGGTCCCAGGTTCGATCAAATTGAATCAAAACCTCCATTACTCACATGAAATAAGAAAAAATAAATAACTCATTTTTTCCATTTCACTTTCTGATCACGGTACGAATCAAACAACACACCTTATATCAGTCCGGGAAATTGAATTATTTATCAGCAATGTGAACTCTGATTGAAGTGTGAAAGTTGAACTCCCACAAGACAAATAGCTAAAACCCGGTGTAATGAAGGTACATAGATGCGAAAAGTCGAGAAAGGAAGACCAATGGTGATCAAAGACCAGCTTGAATGAATTGCAATATGGTGGACATTTTTTGTGACATTGGTAATTTAGCGTTTTTCAGTATTTCATGGACGAAAAAGTTTAAAATCCTGTTCCATCAGGATAATAATAGCAGTGAAATATCCTTTTTGGTAAGATGATCCATCAAAAATATCTTCGACTATTATTGAGTTGAACATGAGCCTGAAACAACCAAGGCTACAACATAGTGAGAGTGAGAATGTAAGTACGATCAAAAGATTGAGAAAGGTACCATATACACTTTTGATCATATATTTGTTTGGGTTTTCTGTAAAAACACAGGCAGAAAATATACATACACATACACAGAAAACACAAACAATATCCGCGCTACCGGTTTGGTTCTGTACCACATTTCATACTGGGTCTAATCTGTGATATTCATTATTTATCAAGCCCAGACTAGGCGTAGAGGACCGCCCGAGGCCAAATGACAACTTCTCCATATTCTTTCGTAAAACTATGGACTGACCTTCGGGATACGTTTCCCACCAGACCCAGAAATTGTTATGGATATTATTATTAGACAGATGTGGTACCCATTCAAACAATTCGAAGCGCAATAATTACTGTTATAGATAAATGTCTGTACACAATACACGCTCAACTGATGCCACCACAAGTGTCGGCATATACGGTAGGCAGTGCAAAGATTCACGTGGAAAACCAGTTGGTAGCGTAAACGAACGGAATGGATATCACAGATCAACGAAGCGAGTACCAGAGGCATGGGCAAATGTTTTCTTCTTTTTTGCTCAAAACTAATCTTACGATGAAATCGCAAATTTGAGGAGAAGCAATTGAATCAGTTGGATTGGGAGTTCGCATTGGACAGGATAAAATCTACATAGAGACCAGGAACAAGAATAATGCAATGAAGAACTCGCAGAGAATGCAGAAGTAAGGCAGTGGTGGTGGGATTCGAACACATCCCCCGGAGTGATAATCTGGTGACGTTACCGCTGGGCCACCACCGCCCGAGAGCGGAGATCACAAGAAAAGATAATATTAATAGTATCCTGGCGTGAGAGTTCACTTACGTGTGGATCTGATTCTCTGCAATCGCCCGGCTACGAGCAGACCTAAAATACAAAGTAGGGTAACAGTTTGTGCAGACCATATTAGATGAAAGGATCAAGGTGGATTTGAGAGTTGATTGAGGAAGCTAGTTCACGACACCTTTACGAAGAAACTCCACAACATGTTAGCTAGGCATCATCTGAAAGAGAAGATGCTTCCTCGAAGTGCCTGCAAGCAGATGTGGTAACTAGGACGCAAGCAGGACACAAAATTGGATTCCGTAAGGTCAGTGGAGCTGAATTCATAAAAGTATACTATACGAACGTCAAAAGCCATCGTTTAAAAATATTGATCGTCAACAAACCATTTGGAGTAAACGAATGGTAAACTGGCTCTTTGATATATCGAATAAGGTGGTTACATATACAAGGCGATCATAGTAAAGGTACCTGACTGGCCGAATAAAGCTCAGTTTATAACGATGACAGAAGCTGGCAAACAGAGCAAACGAATACAAGGCTAGCGATCGTCAATGCTAAAGTCGTGGGTAAGAGGACAAAGGTCAAATGGAAAAACAGTAGATGGATT